GCCAACATCAATGTCAATGACCTTGAAGAACTTGTCGACAATGCAGTGGGTAGTGGGTCGAGCATAGTGTCGTTCAAAGGCGCGCAAGAGGCCAGGGACCTTGTCGGCCACAATATCGTGCAGCCGTGCTCGGTCGGTGTAGTTGAAGGCACTCTTGAAATCGAGGGAGAGCATGGTCCAGCCCGGGGTAGACTCACAGGCTTGAAGCTCACCAAAGGCCATGCCAACCGCTGCTGAAATGCCGTCCTTGACTCCGACAGCCAGCTCTGGACTGGCCTGTAGCAAGTGGGCAATATGGGGCTGCTGTTGCTCGAGCAGAGCGCGGTTGACAACCTTGTTGAAGATGGAATCCGTGCCCACGGGTCGAAACTTGCCATTGGCCTTCTCCAGGATAGTGTAGTTGATGGAGCAAAGGGCATGTCGAATCGACTCGGGCACGGTGTTGTTGGCAATGTGGTGAAAGATCTTGTTCAAGGCAACCTGAGGACCTCCAGTGGCGGTGGTGGGGCCCTGAGGCGCGTCTCCATCAGGAGGAGCAGTCGGGTTGCTGGTAGAACCCTGGCGTGGGCCCAAGACCTGACTGAAGTGCTCCTTGATGCGGTAGATGGAGGCAAGAAGCTCACCAGACCAACCATAGGGGTCGGTGACACCCTTGGTGGCCGCCAACGCCTTGGGGAGCTCACCCTTGGTGAAGGACACGGTTGGGGAGCTCGCAGCCGTGGCTGGTGCCAGTGTAGACGTGGAGGTGGGTGTCGAAGCCATGTACGGGGTCAGCCCGGGCGGTACCAAGAGGTCGCGCACGGCCTGAACCTCAGAATTACCAATCACGGCACGAGCCTTGTCGGCATCAAATGCTTTGGCAATCTGACCTCGGTTCAGACGGTTCGTGACGTGGTTTGCCCAGGCTTCGTCCGCCAGGTCCGGGTCGCGGACGAGCGACCTGAGGCTCTGGTCGACTGCATCGTTCGGGTGGGCGCCCGCGCCGGCGTTCAGCTGTCCTCGACGGCTCTGCTTGCGTGCGACTGCCTTGCGCATGGCGTCCACGACCCGACCTAGTTGCCCCGTCACAAGCCAACGGAGACGATCGTGAAACATATTGCGCAGGTCAATCGTAGACAGTGCGGTCGAGGGAGCAGACAACAACATGCTAGGCAAGGCCAAAATCAAAGCCCAGCACATCTCTCGCTCTTCAGCGGTATAGTCCGAGTGGACGGCAGACCAATACAGTTGGCTCAAGGTGGCAGCCATCAGCTTGGTCTCGGTGGCGTTGGATGGGTAGCGGCTGCGCTGCATCAGTGGATGCCGGGCGAGCTTGAGCAGCTCGCAGACACTGATGCGAGACCCTACACACTGTTGGGGCCAAGCGCCACGCATAATCTCAAGCAGGTCGTGTCCAGCCGCATGAAACAACGCCTCGGTCGCTCGCTTCAGATTGGCACCACATCGGGAGCGGTGTTGACTGATACCAGCAGCTTCGAAGAAGAGGTGACACTTGTTGCACTGGGCAACCAATTTGGCCTCCATCACCTGCTTGACCAGATCAGTGGCTTGCTCGTCGTAGGGGTGCTCGCGTAGTACATGATTGACCCAAGCTTTGCGGTCAAGGCGGGGCCCCTTGCATTTGCAAAGCCCAAATGGGCAGGCGAGGAGTTGCCTGTGGCCAGATGTCTTCAGCAGGACCTTGCGCTGGGCATCCAGCACGTTGGCAGCGATGGGTGGAGCAGGATCGCTGAGAAGAACATCTTGCTCACTCTCACTGTGTTCGCCCGCTGCATCGTGTGTTTCACTCTCACTGACTTCGCCAAGTGGGGCTGAGTTTGCATGCTCACTGTGTTCGACAGGATGTGAAATGGCAGCGGGCAAAATGGCAGTGGCAGGGGGTGAAGCCGAGGGCGGAGAGGGATCGGAATGGGTTTGCTGTGTATCCGATGGATCTGGCAGCACCATTTGAGCGGGTGTAGGTGATTGCACCAATGGCTCAGGCGTGGCACTGCCGTTTGTGTCACCGTCACCATCATGCGCGGGAGGGGCGATAGGGGTGGGCGCGCGGAGTGCGGTGGAGCGAGGAGGGGAGTCGCTTTCGTCCGAAGACATGGTCAAAAAATCCGATGGTGTGTTAGGAATCGAATGATGTGTCTGCCCTGTGGACTCGGGCGAGGGTTGTTGCTCCCCGCTGCCATTTGGCTCAGAGGGCACCGATGCTGACAAATCCTCGGTCATAGGGGCCAAAGATGTGGCAGTGGCGGCGGCAGGCATTGCGCAGCAACTTGAGCAAAGGAGCGAGGGCTGGATGGCGTGCGAGGGGTGCGGGGAGAAGCATTGGAAGTGTTTCCGAGAATGGGAAGTTGCTCCCCGCCGCCGTTTGACGTCCTGGTCACTGGCTCGGCCGCGGGCACGACGGCACGTGCCGAAGACTCGGTCGCACCGGCAGTGGGGGACGTCGAGGGCACATGAGACGAGGCACGGGCGGTAGAGGCAGAGTGGCGGGCGCGAGGGCGAAACGGGGTGGTCATAGGGTCAGGGAAAACATGGTTACGGTCGTGGCGAGCGCTGCCATGTTTCGTGTGTTTCGCAGAACGATGAGTTTGGGAAGGCGAGGTGGTGGTGTTGCTTGGAGGTGACTCGGCACTCGGGCGTTTAGCACCGCGGACCTGGGTCCAAGAATCCTCGCCGCCGGACTCAGTGGCCATGTCCGCGGGGCAAGCAAGCGAGCAAGCGAGCGGACACGGTGGGAGCGAGGGCGCCGCCAAAACGCGGGCCGCAAGGAGCGGGGTTGCAGATTTTGTCTGACAACGTGGTTCACGCCAAGATGTCAGGATGAGGCTGCTACTGGCAAACATCAGGAGGTCATCGACATAGACGGCGATCCAAATGGCATCGCGGCCATTGTTGAGAAAATAAACACATCGGTCCTTGAGGCAGCGAGTAAACTTCATCTCCGTGCACAGCTGGTGGTCGAGCATCTGGTACCAAGCACGTGAAGCTTGCTTGAGGCCATAGACAGCGCGGTTGAGCTTGCCATGAGTGTAGCCATTGAAGTACTGCTCGAGACCTTTGGGCACGGTGATGTAAATGTCCTCCTCGAGTGGAGCGTTGAGAAAGGCAGTCTTGACATCCATCTGGTGGATGATGAAGCCATAGTCGACAGCAAGAGCAA